AGTTCAACACTTATGTTTACATAAAAGTCTGAATGGAAACACAACAGGCAAGGAAGAGCAGAGTCCCCAAAACATGTTGTGTATAACAATTTGAATACAAGATTTGGAGCCTGTAGTATGCTGCCACCCGGTAATGGATCCAGAGGGCCCAATAAACTTTGCTCCTTAAAGGAAAAGTATTTGGGACAGTAAAATATACTCTTCCCATTATTTAGAGCCGTCGTAGGACACTTCAGCTTTCACATACTGGCTCTATACCAAGAGCTGGTTGATCATGTAACCATTGTTCAGCTCACGTCTTTTCCCTGCTGAGGCCAGTGGCTTTCAGTCAGCCCCCCCCCCAGGAATTCCCCTCTATATTTTTGCAGTGTTCATTGGAGGGACAGATGGGATGGGGTGGGCACAGCTGGCTCTGGCTCTAGAGAGGTAGAGCCAGCTGTCAATGAGATTGCCAGGTGAATTCCAAAAATATTGTCTGAGTCCTTCCCGGCTGCAGCAGGGCCCTGCACTTTAGTCCCCTATCTGCTGACTTTGGGTCACAGAAGTGCATTAGTAAATATACTTAAATGATCCAAAAGGGAAGTAAAGCCAAAAAAAAAGGTTTCATGTTACTTTTCTTTTAATGGTGCTCAAGGTGGAACCAGCTTAAGGTAGTAGGTGGGCCTTATCAATGTCTCATACCTGTAGTACAGGAATATTGTTGACAATAAAGACCGTTTTAATTTTGACCTGCTATCTTTTTATCTTGCTTTAAGCAGGAACATCTCACTCTGCCAGTGTGCAGGAAGTGGACACCTCTTTCACACGCGCATTCTGATCAGGTCCACCTGCCAGTTTTTCAGGCAGACCTAATCAGAAGCCCGATGTTAGTCTATGGGCAGCCAGATCTAAACGGCCGTGCATCCGCTTACATCTAGTTACCCCCAGCTCCATTCAAGTCCAGAAAAACATGCGCATCAGAGTTCCGTTTCTACGAACCCTGGCTGTGCTGGATCAAAGGTAATCCTGATATAAACGACATATGTCTGTTTCCTTCTGACTCCCCATAGACCAACATGGGTTCGTTAATTTCATTTTTTTTCCTCGCAAGATGGAGGAAAAAACTGGATGGACACGGATGTAACAACGGTGGCATCCGTTCCAATCAGCAGCCATGCATGGATCCCCTGCAGATTGGACCTGAAGGTGCCCGTCTTAAAGCGCCTAACTACAAAGCACTTTTAGCTGAACCACACATACACTATATTGCCAAAAGTATTGGGACACCCTTCCAAATCATTGGATTCAGGTGTTCCAATCACCTCCATGGCCACAGGTGTATAAACTCAAGCACCTAGGCATGCAAACACTTCTAAAAACATTTGTGAAAGAATGGGACTCTAGAGAAGTGGAGACGTGTTCTCTGCCGTGACGAATCACACTTCTCTGTCTGGCAGTCCGATGGACGTGTCTGGGTTTGGCGGTTGCCAGGATAATGGTACTTGCCTGACTGCATTGTGCCAAGTGTAAAGTTTGGTAGAGGGGCGATTATGTTGTTGGGATGTTTTTCAGGGGTTGGGCTTGGCCCCTTAGTTCCAGCGAAGGGAACTCTTAAGGTATCAGCATACCAAGACATCTTGGACAATTTCATGCTCCCAACTTTGTGGGAACAGTTTTTTAATGGCTCCCTGCGTTTCTGGGAACAGTTTTTCCGCTGGCTCCCTGCGTTTTTGTAGATCACACTGGACCGGAACACAGGCACTAATGTGCCTGCTTTCTGGGTGCGGGTGGTCGCACATTAGTGCCTGTGTTCCAAGCCAGTACGATCTGCAAAAATACTGCAACCACTATTTTTTTGCAGATCGCACTGGACCTAATGTGCCTGCTTTCCGGGTGTGGGCAATCGCACTGAGTGTGGCGTGGCTGCGCTGCCATTGACTTCAATGCACCGCTACGCCCCCTCCTGCCCCTGAACGCAGGGAGCCGGTTGGCGTGAGTTCCAGAGGCTGAACGCTCTGGAACGCAGACGTTGTGGTGTGAACCATCCCTCAAACTGTACAGGAACCAGGATTTACATGAATGTAATCCTCTGAGCTAGGATATTGTAATTTTCAAAGAATTAAAAGGCATTCTGTGGTTGAAGGAGGAGAAATGTTCAGTCATATTCTTCTTCATCTTTCATGACTTAGTTTTTCTTTTTCTATATGTACCTAATAAAGGAAAGCTCATCTCCAGGCACACAGCTTAATGTAGTATTGGAACAATCCTAACCAGGTCAACCTGTCAACATGTAAAATAATACACATACTCTGAGTATACTCTAGGGCTATATAGCAAATTGTGAGCACTTAAACCACAGTTCTGCACACTTTTACAAAGCTTTACCTGCTGCCTGCTCTCAAGAGAATTAGTTAATATAAACCATATTGGTTATTCCCATTGTTCCTGTTCCCTCCTCTTTAAAAATTAAACATTTGGAGCTGCAAGCCTGATTCTTAGATTCACCTAAGCAACTGCTCATAGACAAATTTCAAGTAATTGCACGATGTGGATTGAATAAAGCAGTGTTTTATATATTCCCAGAGGGTCTTCTTTAAAATGCTGTAAATTGTATAAAAATATGGCAGAGGTCCTTTTTAAATGCTGAAATTTGAATGCAGCAACATCTTTCATATCGATCCAGCACTCCGTAATCCGCACTCTCAAAATAAGTTTCAGCCAGCTACATATGATGTAATATAAATCAGTAATTATCCCAGATATTATGAGGGAAACATCCGAAATACCATTTCTTGTATGTATTAAAAAAAAAAGACCATGGAAATGCTGGCTTTACTTTTTTTTTTTGCCAAGAGGAATCCTTAAAAATTGTATTCAGATGTTGGCAACCACGGACAGTTTAACCCAGCGGTAGCAAACCTCTGCCCCTCCAGCTGTGGTGGAACTACAAATCCCATGAGGCATTGCAAGATTCTCACAGCCACAGACATGACTCCCGAAGAGAGATGCATCATGGGATTTGTAGTTTCACCACAGCTGGAGGGCCGGAGGTTTGCTACCCCTGGGTTTACCCAACAGCCTTGTAATTATACCTTTTTACATTGAATCTGAAAAGTTCATAACAAGGAGTTCTTTCAAGTCAAAACCATTAATGTTAACCATTCAATAACTGCTAGCTAATGATGATGATTAGTTCAGCTGCAAGTATTGCTGTTCTTAAAGAACATTGGTTGCTATTATGAAGCTGGCTGTGGCTGTCCCCACCTCCACCACTGATAGCTATGGCATGCTAAGCGGGACAAATGGTCTAACTACTTTTAACATTTTCTATTTATTCTGTGGCTGTTTTGACAGCAGCATGGGAAACTTTATTTCAAACAAAGAGGAATTTGCTTATTAAGTTCCATAGGGGTTGTGCTATGTGTTTAAGATGCTGATAGTGCATAGAGGATTTTTTTTTTTTTTTTTTTTTTAACGGGTTCAAAAAATAACAGTAAACACTGTGTTTTT